TATATATATATATATATATATTTAATTGTTTACCAATTATAAGTTGTCAGTAAACCACTATTTCACCCAGAAGCCGTGATGGCGAATCGTGAACGTTACACATATTTGGTGTTCATACTTTTGACAACTTATCTTCTTCCACACAACAAAGATGCTATTCTCACTGTCACAGCTGACAGCTAAATATAGTTGGATCAGCGCACATGAGGTACATTCCTTGTTGTAATTTTAGCTTTCAGTGTCTGAAATAAAACACATATTGTGGAATTAAATTATACCGGTTTAAAGTAAAACACATGAATAGTAAACACAATGTATTCTGCTGCACCTGGTCCTTTAGTCCCCAAACAGAGGTGAGCAACAGTGTGTGTGTGTGTGTGTGTGTGTGTGTGTGTGTGTGTCAGTGTAGATGTGCTTGGTTGTTCTTTTCTGTCTGTGGAAATATCTGGCTCCTCTTTCAGACTAGCTGTTTTGTAAAAGACAGAACAAATCTGTGGACTATGTTGACACCATTGTTGTCACAGGGTCCGTTTACATCTTGTTGATGTAGCTGCCCTGTATAGAGGAAAACACAATAGCACCTAACCTAAAATACCGGTATTTGCGAAATCTTTCACAGGTTTAAATTGTTTATTCTCGAATTCGCCATCAATAAAATCTCATGTCCAAACACATTTTTTTTTTCTTTTCTCATAAACCAATTTGTTAGCCAATGGGACCTAGAAATCCGTGCCCTTTCTTTCTCTTCCCTCCTTCAATGACACATAATAATAACCACGGCGGATAAAATATGTTATTCTGAGTGTTTGCTGCCACAGTTACCGAGGGCTATAATAAGAAACATCCCTCACCAACACAGTTGGCTGTACTCGGCTGCGCTCGTGTGTTCTCGGAACTCTTCGCCAGCCGGCCGTCTCTAGGAAGCCCCGCCCTCCGCCGATCCTCGCCAGACTCGCTGGGCTTTATGTCTGGCCGCTGTGGAGGGGAACTGCCATGCGCGGTCGCCATGTTATCGCGCTCTCCTCCTCCTTTCGGGGACTCGTCACAGGCTGATAGCACTAGCACAGGCTACATTACAAGGAGGAGGCAGCTGGTGAATAGGAGCAGAGTGCGAGAGAGACTAACACAGGACTAAAACAAAAGAAAGCACGGGATGGAATAAAGCAGGACAGCGCTGAGTCGCTCGGTTTCTCTCTGTCATCTGACGCCGGCTGAAGCACTTTGTTTCGTGTGATTTTGTGCTCTGGTGACTGCGATACAACAATTGAAAATGCGCCTGGCAGTTTGAACTGTGATGGGAGAGACTGTGTCGTTGTAAGTGTGGATATAGGTAGCATTGGCACATGTTAACCCCTTAAGCCAAGGAGGCAGCCTGCCACATGACTTCCCTCAGTCAAAGCAGATTGTGAACACTGTGCCACCTGGGTCAACACAAACACTTCCCCACCTTACTGCCTCCATCCCTCCAGTGGTGGGGAACGGTCAGCTGATTGCAGCTTCGCAGCAGCCCGTGGGCACTGTGCAACCCCCTGCTGCTCAACCACCTCCACAACAGACACCCGCCCCGCAGTTGGTCCAGGTCGTGTCGCAGCTGGTGCAGTCCACCGGCACTAGTCTCATACAGCAGACCCAGGGGCAGCAGCTCGCCTCTCAACCCTCCATGGAGCAGCATTCACAGATCGGCAGTCAAGGCTGCGGCACCCAGTTTGTGATCTCATCAAACGTGCCTCCTAACCTTCAGAGTGATCCTCAGTCCAGTTTGATCCAGAACAGCTCGAAGGAGCCCGGGCATGCGGTGAGCACCCTGCCCTCTGCGATGCCCAGACCGCAGGAGGATGCCCAGCTCCTGTTACAGCACCCAACTCTGCTCACACAAACCAAGCCTGCCGGTGGTGAAGTTGCCTCCCAGGCCGGCACCTCCCGTGGTCCAGAGGGAAGCAGTGGAGTCAATGCCTTAACTGCCTCAGCCAGCCTGCTGAAGAGCTTACCTGTGGATGGAGAAGAAGATGGGTAAGTTTCAGTATCTTTTTTCCCCCCCTAGTGCATTATCTATTTACTGTTTCCAGTACATTTGCTTTTGTAATTACTGTTTGAACAGCTTCATTAAAAATTACACATGCAGGCTGTGGGTCATCAGCGGTATGGCTTAATCTACTGCTATAAACATAAATGGTAGTGTGCATTAAATATCACAGCAGGCGGGTAACAGAATAAGGCCTATAGGCTTCTACAGCATGGCTAGAAGTGTTTCCTGTCTGTAACACAAAACTGCAGACTGCTAGACTGTTATTGTTGTATTACAGACAGAAATGTAAATGCTTTGCTCTCTGAAGCCTGCCTTTAAAGACCCCATGAAATCACTTTAGAGTGCAGTGTTTTTCTACTGTTGTCATTTCCTTTTGAAACAGGAAGTTAGGGCAGGAGCCAGCAGCCTTTTGTTTGCATCACATCCACAAACATGATATAATGTTTTTTGGCTTGCTGTTGAGAAGTAGGTGGTATTAATGGGGGACTTTGTCGTATTAAAGAATATTAGATTGGACAAAAAAAATGAATGCTGGGTGAGTCAACATTATTTTTGGTCCATGCAGTAAGAAAACGTTTGAATGTTTTAAATTTGTATATCTGCTAAAAGTGAATTGGCATCATTTAAGGGGTACACAAGTATTTAGATGGAAATAAAAAAAGGCATTTTTGCAACTCTATATTGAGCTTTTTTTTAATGGTTATCATTTGTGACATGTTTGCTTCAAGCTGTAACTCTATTAAGGCCAACAGAGATCAATGGAGTGTGCCTGTTTAAACTCTTAGGTTGTCTCTATTTGTTGCAGACATAGCAGTATCTTTTGGTAGACAACCGCTGTTTAACATACTTGGAAAGACTATCAATAAAGTGAGAAAATATTTTTGAGTTTTTTGAAGACTCATAAACTGTAGCTTCGGTCTAGTCCGTTTTTCACAGACTTCACACAGCAAGGCCAAGAATGTAACATAAATACGAATGCTTACATACTGTTAAACATAGTGCTAATACTGTGACATATGTTTGAATTTGTCTTGAACTGTTCAGAAGAACCAGGCATGCAACAAATATGACATGACACAAATACTCAACAAGTATTCACTTCAAACCTGTGCTTGACAGAGCTCGTCTAACAGATGTCCAAGGGATGACGGAGTGCTCTGTAATCTGACACTCCTTAATGAAACAGACAGTTTGGTCACCGTGCGCGCACATCATTTTGGCACTGCTTGTTTCTCTCAGGTGTTAGTCATAATCTTACTTAAAGCTATTTGTCTGACTTTACTATATAACAATGTCAGATTGCAGATCAGAAAGAGACTGTTCTGTTCAGATCTATATGTTTCAGACATAAAGTAAAAGGTAGTCGTCCCAAATCTTCAGAGCCTCATTAGGGTGGATATCACACTTGTATTTCACTTGATGGTCTTATAAATTGTTGGTCAGCACTTACTGTCAGAGACGGCTAGATAGTCCTCAGTATACCTGCAATACCAGGGCGCTATATCTAAATTAGTGGTATAGTTTTCAGTCTTTTGGCGAGATTCAGTTTATATTTTGAAGTTTGTGTTTGCTCTCCAATGGTAGGTTCTTTTCTATTAGAGCACCATCACTTAAACAAACGCAGCCATTTTCCCCCCAGGTCAATTCATAATGGTTAATGCAAGAAGTAAAATGCACAACATGGACGTTCTTTTGTAGTGACGCGAGCAATTTAATCATAAACATACAGCTTAAACAGTTTATAAACTCTTAACATTAAATCAGAAATACTATTAAAATTTGCTCTCTTGCTCGCAAGTTACATGTTGGGGAGGGATTGTGAAAATAGCCTAAAGGCTGATTAATACTTCTGCGTCGGACCTACGCCGTAGCTTACGCATAGCCTGTACGCCGTAGCCTGACGTGCACCTCTCCAAAAAATCTAACAGCGCGTCAATTCTACACAGACCGCAAGCGCTGTGATTGGTCTGCACGAACCCCTCCCTCCATATGTACTTGAGTTTTTTGTGTGTTTATGT